ACATGTATACAAAGGATAACTAATGAGAACCTGCTGTATGGCACAGGGAGCTCTACTTTGCTGTACAGTAGAAACTAACACAACATTGTAAAACACCTACACCCCCATAAAAAAAGAGACAGAGATAATGCAGGCAACAACACAGAATGAAAGCCCCCCAGAACAAATAAAAAATAAAATAAAAAAATAAACTAAGCTTCTCTAAGGAAACCTCATGGCCTTAGCTGCCTTTCACACTTCAGCCCCAGATCCTCTGGGGTGTTCCTTGAAAAGCTATAATGTTATCTTTGGCAGTGCTGTGCGTTTCGGAATTCCTCCACTGATGAATTCTTTGGCTGAGCTCTGAGCTCTTTTGAATTCTGAGCTCTTTTGAAAATAGCGAATATCTCCCACTCCAAAATTAATTTACTGCTGCCTTAGGTAAGTCCTGAGATCCCATGAAGTATAGAAAGAGGAGCCTGGAAGGACCAGTCAAGATAGCATAGCAGCCAGGGGCCCTGAAGCCAGACCAGCTCTCTTGAAGGCAGGGGCAGTCTTTTTATAATCTCTTGGGATTCTCTCTAGGAACTGTCACAAGAGGGCACTCATTAAACCCTGTTCAGAGCTTGCACACTGAGAACGTTAAAAGAGTTGTAAGCACGAATGACTGGCCCTTTAATGCCCTCAGCCCCCCAACACACTCCTCCATCTGAAGGATGACTGTGTGCTGTGCACTCCCTACTTAGCTCCTTTTCTTTCCCTGTTCAGTCTCACTGAGCTGCCAAGGAAATAAGAAGCCTGTGGTCCAGGTCTGCTCACACAGAGGCAAGGCTGGAGAAAGTGGCCAACAATTGGGATTAACAGATTTAATGGCCGACTTGTTTATCCTGCAGGAAACATCACCTGGTGATGTCCCCATTGATCCCTTCAGAGCGTGGCATCTTAGCCTAGGCTTCTGTGGACTGTGAAAATGAATGAACAGTGTGGGGACAAAGCCAAAGAATTCATCAGTGGGGAAAAACAACTACAAAGAACACATGTGAGGGGACATCAGTCACAGCAGGCCTCTCTCTATTCCCATGGCTGCCACTGTTGCAGGTGTTGGTGTCAGAAGGTGCTGGTTCCTGAGAAGGTCTCAGACACAAGTGAAAGGAGACTCAGGCGCCGCTAGGAAGCCTTTTGGAAGCAACTGCACTTTCGTCATGAAACACTAAGGGCAACAGAATCAGTGAAAGGCAGGCTCTACTTGGGAATGAAAGCAACCATGTTTTTTTTCTTTTTCTCAGGCAGAACTGATAAATTCTCCTCATGCCATCTCCAGGAGGGTGGCTGGGGGTGACGGGACTGTACAGATGTCAGGATGACCCAGACAACCTTAGAGGGTCTGTATCTGGGTTCAGAAATGAGAACTACTGAATTCTTGCTAAGATGCTACCAGAGAAGGCCACAACACAGACTGCATGAAATGAAAGTATCCCAGAAAAAAAGGAATAAAAAGATTAGACATTTGGGACTTCCCTGGTGGTTCAGTGGTTAAGAATCCACCTTCCAATGCAGGGGACGCAGGTTTGATCCCTGGTTGGGGAACTAAGATCCCACATGCTGCGGGGCAACTGAGCCCACACACCGTAACTACTGAGCCCGCACACCACAACTATTGAGCCCATGCACTCTAGAGCCCATAAGCCACAACTAGAGAGCCCGCAAGCTGCAACTACTGAGCCTGCGTGCTCTGGAGCCCATGTGCCACAACTAGAGAGCCCGCGTGCTGCAACTACTGAGCCCATGTGCTCTGGAGCCTGAGCGCCACAACTAGAGAGAAGCTTGTGTGCCACGATGAAGAGCCTGCACAACGCAACGAAAAATTCCACACGCCACAACTAAGACCTGACGCAGCCAAATAAATAATTTTTTAAAAAAGATTAGACATTTATTAATACTATATGTCAAGCACTATATTCAGCTCTTTCTTCTTTAGTTATCATGGCAACCAGATAAGATAGGTGTTATAATTATACCCAATTTACAGATGGGGTAATTAAGAAAACATGAATTTAAGCAATTTGCTTATGCTCACCTAGCAAATAAGTTTGAATTCAATTCAGATCTGATTCTAAACCATAATCTTCATCTTTATGCCATATTTCCTCCAAACATTGCAGAACATATTTTGAGTCCTAAAACTCTAAAGTACCAAAAGGACAGAGCAGAACACAGAGGAGCACCTCTCTAATGTCCTATCACTGGTGCAGAGGTATGCTGAAAAGTATGGTTAGATCACCCATAGAGTAACTGGAAGATATAAGCTCTGTCCAGCTCAGTCCATGAAAACTGTGACTCATGACTCAACAGCCAGGCATAGTACTGGAGAGAAGGGATTATACAAGAGGAGTTAGGACATTTGGGAAGTGGAGCCATGGAGACTCCTTCCCTCTCTTCTGTCAACAAGATGGGCTCCTCCCTCCTGCACTGTTGATGGGAATGTAAATTGGTGCAGCCACTATGGAAAACAGCATAGCGGTTCCTCAAAAAAACTATAAATACAGTCGCCATATGATCCAGCAATCCCACTCCTGGGCATATATCCAAACAAAACTGTAATTCAAAAAGATACATGCACCCCTATGTTCACAGCAGCACTGTTTACAATAGCCAAGACATGGAAGCAACCTAAATGTCCATTGACAGATGAATGGATAAAGAAGATGTGGTAAATATATACAATGGAATATTACTCAGCTATAATAATGCCACTTGCAGCAACATGGATGAACCTAGGAATTACCATACTAAGTGAAGTAAGTCAGAAAGAGAAAGACAAATATCATATGATATCACTTATGTGTGGAATCTAAAATGCAACACAACTGAACCCATCCACGAAACAGATATAGACTCACAGACAAAGAGAACAGACCTGTGGTTGCCAAGGGGGAGTGGGAGTGGGGAAGGGAAGGATTGGACGTTTGGGATTAGCAGATGCAAACTGTTATATAAAGAATGGATACACAACAAGGTCTTACTGTGTAGCACAGGGAACTGTATTCAATGTCCTATGATAAACCAGAATGGAAAAGAATATAAAAAAGAATAGGTGTATATATGTACATATAAACACACATATATCTGAATCACTTTGCTGTACAGCAAAAACTAACAGAACATTGTGAATCAATTATACTTCAATAAAATAAAATTTTTTTAAAAAGGTGTGTTCTTAACATTCTTTTGAATTTGAAGGAGAGTCCTGGGCCAGATGCAGATAAAAATAATCAGTAAACAGTTCCTATTTCCCACTGGCCTAGGAATACACACCAACCAGCATCACTGATGAAAGGGAGAATGTATTCAAAGTTAATTTTGGGCTCACCAGCCTGACCTACAAAGTCTCTACGAAAACAAGAAAAAACCCTGAAATGGAGGCAGCGTAGGAGGGCATGATTTCATGGGGCTGCTTGGATTGAGTAGTTCTCACCTTTCAGATGCCTCCCATCCTGCAGCACTTGGTAGTCTAAAACCACTCCCTCCTCCATTGCTTCTTCACACCATCACTGGCATTAGGGTTGCAGATTTGTCAATGAACTATTTTATGTTTTTCCCCTTGCCATCTGGCAATATTAGCTCTCTAATGAATTGCTTTAACTCGGGCATTTGTTTTTTTTAACAAATGTGACTTTTAGTTGAATTATACAACATTCATAAATAGCAAATGCTGGCTGATTAGAATCAACGAAAACCCTTAGAGCTGCCAGTGAAAATGGGTCCTTAGCTGCACATGTTACTTGCATAGGCTAATCACTTGAAAGGCACCAGCTTATTTTTGGAAAGAACTTTTTACACATACGCTTATGTAATCTGTTATGTATGTATATATGTATGCATTTGGATTTGGGTGGATTCTTGCAAGCCAGCCATGCTATGAATATAAGAACTAGATACACTTGGATTTGGAACTAGACACACTTGGGTTTCAATCCTACCTCTGCCACTTACAAACTATGTGAACTTGGGTATGTTTCTTAATCTCTCTGTGTCCCTAGCTCCTCACATGTAAAATAGACATAATAAATCCCTTGCAAGATTGTCTCAAGGAATAAATGAGATCACACAAGGCACAGTGTCTGGGTACATTGTGGCTCAATTATTAGTAACTATTACCATCATCATCATGTTCTATTAATAGAGGATTATGGTAGACAACATTTGCAGTCTCTATAATCCTTCCCTTCTGATAACTGCCACAGGGATGGGCCTCCAAAGCCATATTTGTATTATATGACACTGCTTCAGTGATTGGGCAAGAATAAGGGAAATAAGGAAATATGAGTTTTAGGCAATTTTTTTATGCTCACCCAGCCACTGGGTTCTTGATTTAATCTGGCAGATTCTCTTGCCTGAAAGTTTGGATTAGGAATCAGTTCCCATTGGTCCTCTGAACTAAGAAACTGCAAGACTGCTCATGTTTGGCAACGTGCATGTCAAGGCAATAAAAGTCAGTCTGCAGAATGATGTACATGTCAGGGAAGGAGGAGGCCTGACTGTGACTTGAAGTCAACCAGAGTGGTGCCCTGGTTCTGACAACTTTTCCACTTCCATGAGAAACTCCATTTCATCGATCTATCTGTTAATCAATCTATCAGTCTCCCTTCTGCTTACTACTTTGAGTGGATTTCCATCATCTTTAACCAAAAGATCTTTGCTAACAGTGTCATCTCTGTGCATGAGGCCACCAGATCTTGCCTGTTGTAGTTCGGACAGCCTAAGCATTTGAAATGTATCCAGTTATTTCAGAAAATAACTTTACACACACACACCCTTATGTTATCTGTTTTCAACTGCTGAAGTGCATTAAGTGGAAAATCAAAATACTCCTGCATAATCATGTAAGAAAGGAAGTCACACATGTAAGAAAAAGAAGTAAGAATAAAAAGAGAGCCACTGACATTCCTGGTCTTACAAAAACAGGTCATCTCATGGCTTTCCAGAATCCAAGCAAGGAGGGAGAGACCCTGGGTCTTTACCTGGTGTCGCACTGGATACTGTTGGCCACTGCTGATCAGGCCCTCCTGGACCAGCTCGTAGAATGCCAGCCTCTTCCAGGTGCACAGAGCTGAGTAAACACATAGACCCAAATAATAGTTAGACCATAAATGCCTTTCCAGCTCTCCTTCCACCCTCAGAAAGTGCTCACATCTCTGGAGGCAGGGCTGCAGCTAACACTTTTTACTCATGCTTGAACTGAAGCAATTACCACTGAGCAGTCACCTTGCATCAACTGCGAAATCATTGCTGACTTAGTGTCTGCTACACCATGCAGGCGATAAACATGTTTTATCTTTGTAGCAATTTTGGTTTTCAGTAATGCTGTGTGGTGTTCATTAAATCTAACAGGAAGCCCATCAGAGGGCTAATGACATTTTATCGTCTTAATGCCAAAGCAGATGAGGACAGCTTGTTCTCAGAAGCCCCAAGCCTCTTTTGCTAGTTCTCTTATTTCTGGGTTCTCATAGGAAAGAGGAAAGCACGAAGATTATTTGCTGGTAACTGTAGTATTATTCCAGTTTGGCCCAATTAATTCTGAACTTTATTTTCTGTTTTACTTTCTGTATCTTTTCCTCATAGATAACCCATCCTACATTTCCTGGGACTAGAGGAAGTTTATCACCAGCACTCATGGATCCCAGTTCAGAAGAGATTAATTCAGCATGAAATATTGCAGAGAGTGAGACATGAACTGGGAGATCCTTAGAGGCAAGTAGAGATAGAACGTAAATTGTTCAAGGGCAGAGAGAACATCATATTCTTTATGTATGTGTAATGTTAGCAGATATGAGACCCTCAATATTTTCTGGATGAAGTAAGGAACAAATGGGACCCTAAGAGTAAATATCACCCAAGAAAACCCTCACCAAAATAAGAGGACTCTTTGAAATTAGGCATTGGTTCATCTCGGAAGTTAAGTTACTAAAGTAAAACTTAAGAGTACTACTGCCTGAAGGGGTCATGGGACTCAACAGAGCAGGAAAACTTGAAATATTGTGGGGGAAGGTCATCTCTAAGTTCAATATTCTCTTACTCTTTTTTTTTTGGCCGAGCCAGGAGGCTTATGGGATCTTAGTTCCCGGACCAGGGATTGAACCCGCACCCTTGTCAGTGAAAGCACAGAGTCCTAACCACTGGACCGCCAGGGAATTCCCAATATCCTCTTACTCTTTGACTTCAAACAACATATCTAGTGGAAATTCACTCATTACGCTCTGCCCTACTGCTGTTCTTCCCTTCATCTACACCCTAGAATCTTCTCTTTTTTCCAAATATTAATATCCTTTGGGTGTTGGTGGATTCTACCAGCAAACTGTATGGGTTCAATTAGATTCTCTCTGAAGATGGAACTACCCTAGGAACCAGCTCAGCTCAAAGCAGAATTTTCAAAGGAACAGGCACATGATATCTGAGGCTAGAAAGGCCAAGAAGCCAAGCGTATGTGTGAAAAAGATGAGTGTTGTTTAAGTTCACAACTTTAACATATGTTCCATGTACTACACTGTGAGGAATAAATAACATTTAGTTTTAATTTTTATTTCATTTCTTATCCTGCTTGAATCTCACAACATCTTAATTGAAACCTGAATAGAAACACACATGGCTTCTTTTTTTTTCATTTGAAAATGGAATAAGGAACTGATATAGTTTAGTATTTTACTTTAATATAGTTTTAAAGGTGCATCTTATAGCTTTGGTACTTTTCAAGTAAAGCACTAATTCAACTGGGACAAAAGAAGTTGGTATTGTAAACCATATTTTTTCCTATCATATAGTTCACCACAATAGCTCAGATGCAGGCAAAAGCATAAGCTGGTTTCTAACAAATAGAAAGAATCTTTCTGAAACCTAGTATTCTGGCACCTGCGTAAAAGTGTTTCTGGCCTAAAGTTATGACCAGATTCCAATGTGATGTCTCACCAAGCCAACTACTAATCTTCAGTTTTCACTGATTGCTTCTCGTTTAGAAAGAGCACCCATTATAATGATTTCTGCTCAATTTGTAATGTAATGTTTGGGAATATGTTGATTTATTTTGAGTTAATGTGTTTTTAAACAGGCTAAAACTAATTTTTCATTAACTCAATACATACTCTGTAAGCTCTCTTTTTAGAAATTGATCAAGGTTTGGTGACGATCTACTCAAGAGTTGCCTAGATATTTTGAGGGGCTTAAGTCTGGAGTTTATTTCTTCTTTAAAACTAAGTTATTTTGGTGGTAGTAAACACGAGTTGCTTGGCTCTCTCCATTTGATTTCCCAAAGACACTCACAAATAATGAATCTTTTATTTGGCCCCATGGCATGAATACTAGATCAGGTCTGGGAATAAGGGTAGTTAATCAATTACTGTCAAAGAGACAAAATAGAGAAGGCAAAATTATATTTAATCTGAGTTTTAAAGTAATGTTATTACTCTAGGTTAATTTAAAAGTAAGCTAGATTTGGTCTCCAGATATTCAATAAAGGCCCTTCACATGGCTCGTCCTCTGAAGAGCTCTTGCCACTGAGGGCAGGCAATAAGATAGCAACAAGATGGAAAAGATAAGGAGACTCTAATAGGGGTGAACATGAACAACAATTATTGTGGTTAACAGGATATAACAGTCAATGTGTGCTGGAAAACCAAGGCAGACAACAAGTGCATATATATTATACAATGTACTCAAGTCTGAAAGCATCAGTATTCATTATAATTTTAAGGGAAGGACAGAAAGTACAGATGGGGAAGGGATGAAAGAAGTTGAAGCTCCTTCGTTATAGAAATTTTAATGAGAGAAAGTAAACAGTCGCCTGTATCTGTGATTTTACAGGAGATTCTTATTTGCCGGCACTTGATAAGCGTTTGGCACTGACCACTTCCAATGTTTTAAGGAATAGACACGGAGACATATAAACAACTGCATTCCCCTGGCAAAGTATCTAAGCTTCTCGGTTTTGACAGCTGCTTTCGGCCTATGAAGACAGTTTATCTGAGTCAAACAGTTGCAGTAATTCCTGCTCTCAGGGAGGCAGAGTAACGCCAGTCAGGGTTGGGTTGTCGGGGCTGCAAAATCACAAAGGGAGCTTTTGTTAATATGGCAAAAACGATGATCTCCTAGTGACGATGTTCACCGATGAGTTGTTTCTTAAATATTTCCATGTAGCTATTAAAAGTATGGAAGAAGCCATTTCATATGCATCTCTAAGATGATGTTCATATATATACAGCACTTCAGGAGAAAATTAAATTAGCTCATCAGGGTCCTTGCACAGATTAAATACCATGGAAAACTGGGTTTAATGATGCTGTGAGGACCGGCTTTGGCTTTGCCTTGCTCAAAACAGGTCTATGTATTAAGATACACACTACTATATATGAAGCAGATAAACAAGGGCTTACTACATAGCACAAAGGAACTCTATTCAATATCTTGTAATAACCTATTATGGAAAAGAATCTGAAAAAGAATATATATAACTGAATCTCTGTACCCCAGAAACCAACACAATATTGTAAATCAACTATACTTCAATTAAAAAACAAAACAAAACAAGTCTATGTTCCTAAAGCAGCACTAGTGGAAGGACAGTCTATTCTGAAACAGGAAAAGCTTTCATTGTTTTTGCCCTCAAATGTCCCGTTAAGGGAACATCCCCAATTTGGTATTCTAGCTATAACAGGGAACACAGCTACACAAATTCTGCTGTTCTGGCTGGACTGCAGAGCACTGCAATCTGCTGCTGACTTTGCAGACTGCAGCGTGTTTGACTCTGGGCGGATGTGCCCAGCCATAATGCCAGCAACTGATAACAACCTCTTCTGCTGATTGAAGAGGAATACAAGGGAGAGGAAAACAAACCACCGCGGGGTTTGACCTTGTTGTGCTGCACAATCCTTTTCATAAAATTGTACTTGTTTCCTGCTCCTCTGAGGGCTTTGCCTTCTTATTGAATTACTGTTTGCTAAGCTCTGTTTAACAGGGAGCAGCTGAAACCTAAGAGGAACCTGACTCTGCACCACCTATGTGTTGGAAAGATGCATTGCCCTGTGTCTTCAAACTGTCAATGCAAAGTGGAGGGGACACCGAGGAAAATGTGGGCACCTAGAGACTGTTCTGCAAGTTACGTGCAGAGTAGAAGCTACTCAGGAATCACTGGGGACAAAATCAATCACCATCACTATCTTGTTATCAATTAGCAAAAATGTCATTATGAAAAACCCAGGACAGATGTTCCTCTCGATGTGTTTTCATGGGCAGAGATTAAAGTGGTCCTGTCACTGAATATTGAGGCCTATCTGAATGGAAAGATGAAGAGATGGAGGTTGTATTCCGCATTTTCCTCTGGACTATAATTATCATATTTGGTAGACACAAGGCCACAGTAATGCCAATAAACTATTTCAAAATGTCAATAAGTTTGTTCCTGTCATTCTTATAGTTCATTCAAGGGATGCACAGTATTTCATAAACATATTTCTTCACAAGATCCAGAGAAGAAGTGATCAGCATCTCAACTTCCAGACAGACTGTGGGATGGTTAGACGATATTCAACAATTTAGCCAAGTCAAGGCCCAGAAAAAGCTACAACTCTAGGATACTTTACCTCAAATGTCCCCATACACTAACTGCCCTCTCCGGTCCCTTCCATTCTGTTGGCAAGATATGAAACATACAAGCTGCTTCATCCTTGGTTCTCAAATTCACAAAATGCTATTGATGTTCCTCATAAAGTACCATAAAACTATCTACAGATAAAATGAAGGGGCTCCTATTTTCTATCAGGGGTAGTAGAGGGAGCAAAAGAGAAAATATTTGCAAACCATTTGGTAAACCTGAAAATATGACTGAAATGCTTTCTATTAATCATATCATCACCAGCATTCCCCTGACCATCAGCAGCATTGGTGTCAGCTTGTTAGCTGTAAGAACCCTCCTTCAAGAAAGACTCTGACATCTGTTGAGCAAATGCTGCCAATTTTTCTATGACTGGGTAACATCCATGATGAAAATTGCTGCAACTTGATCTGGTGAATGAAATCACCAACTTTATTTTGCAGAAAGGCACAGTTCTAGCAGGACTGACCAGGAAACTCAGTCCATTACATAATCTCACTTCCTCAGTGACACGTAATTTGTCGTGCTGCTATTTTCTATAATAGTCCCTCAGCAACAAGATGCTTCTGAGATTTATTTGCCAAAATCATAGTTATGAGACATCTTATGGCAGTGAGATCAGGCAGGGAAAAGGTAAGGAAGAAAGTAATTAATATGTTTTATGTAGCCACACAATACTAGGCAATGGAATAAGCACTTTATACATATTACTGCATTTATCCTAACACCTTTGTTAGACCATAAACTTTATGAAAGGGATTATATCTTTGTTTATAAAACATACTGATATTCTCAAATATTCATAATACATAGCTACAGCCTCAGAAGCTAGCAGGGTTCAGGTATTTGATAGGGTTTTTAAAGGCTTTTGAATAAATTAACTACCATGCAAGGGCAACACTATCGTACTTAAATTACAAAAATTAGAAATCTGGAACTTTAGAGAGATTAAATTACCTGCCTGATAGGTAGGTTTGGCTGATAGTCATGTTTAGGTACCCCTAACGCAAAAGTCTGTGTTTTAAATAAATTTGCATGGAATGACAGATATATATATTTTCTCTTTTTTACTTCTGACTTTCCCAGATTGATTTATTTTTTAAAGTGATACAAAATTAAATGTAATAAAATGTACATGGGTTTCATGTGAACTTGGAAAAATTGATTAAACTTGGAAAAATTGAAGCTGACAGGTTGACTGCTGATATACCTAATATAATGAGACATATGTTTAGTTCTCTAGTACTTGGATGGTACATCCCTGGGCTTTGCTTAATTTCTATTGAAAAGCCCAGTATGTTCTGTTGTTTCAAAGCGTAGTCCTTCAGTAGAATAAGTCATGAAATTCCAGATGTGGAAAAACTGAATTAGGTAGTCCACGTGGGTGATGCAGTGTTATTGAAGAACAAGAATCCATTTGTTTCTATCAAAAGTATAGCTAAGACTTGATTTATTCTGTAATGGTATTATTTATACTATGGAATATTTGAGCTACAAAAGGGTGAATCACCTCTTCCAAGACAGATTTGAAATAAAGTAGGTTTAAAATACCCTATGTCATTCATAAAATCAGAGGACTACTCAGTGAAGTAATATGCTATCTTCTTATCATGGAAATCCATGAAGCTATCAATAAATGATCCTATGAGGGAAGAGATATGGGAACATATGTATATGTATAACTGATTCACTCTGTTATAAAGCAGAAACTAACACACCATTGTAAAGCAATTATACCCCAATAAAGATGTTAAAAAATAAAGAAAGAAAGAAAGAAAAATTGTGGTAAACTACACAATAAATAAATAAATAAATGATCCTCTGAGAAACAAGACTACATGTGGCATCTCCTTTTCCTTCCTCGTAGGAATCTATTAAAGATGTATCCACGGCAAATTTTTCAGTGATATTTTGTGAACACTGATATAAATTATGATAGGCAAAATCCTAAAATGGTCTTCAAGGACCCTACACCCTACTGTAAATGCCCTGTATAATCTCCAAGACTGAATATGATGGGTCTTACTCCATGATTAAGTTATATTATACGGCACAGTTGGCTCTGAAAAAGGGAGATTATCTGGGTGGGAATGACCTAATTATACGAGTCTTTTAAGTCTGGGTCTAGAGATCAGAGACAGAAATCAGAGAGATCTGAAGCATGAGAGGAATTCCATGTGAGAAAATATTCTCCACTGTTAAAATACTGGTAAGGACCTGAGAGCAATTTCTAGGAGCTGAGAGTGACCTCCAGCCAACAGTAAGTAAGAAAACGGGGAGCTCAGTCCTCATGGAACTGGATTCTGCCAACAGCTTGAATGAACTTGAAAGCAGACTCTTACCCAGAGCCTCCAAGAGAGAACTCAGTCTGGCCAGCATGTTGATTTCAGCCTTGTGAAAACCTGAGCAGAGAACCCAGTCACAGTGTGCAGGTAATAAACTAGTGTTGTTTTTAACCACTAATTTGTGGTGATTTCTTACAAAGCAATAGAAAATGAACACATAACTGCTGGTCATGAAGGCAAAAAGGAATCTAACATTTAAAATAATCATTATTATGTTACATATTAGTCTTCTAGTAAATCAAAATGAAAAGATGATAAATATGAGAAGTCTAGGTGAATACTTACTTCTAAAAACAGTCATTTATAATCCTAATCCACAGAGCAGTAAAATAAAATACACATAACTTTAAAACATACCTAATGGGTTCTAGTACAACAGAAAACGCTAGGTTTGCTTAATTCTGGATGCACAGCCTGCTAGTGCAGCAGTTACTCTCTCACCCACAGTTTTACTTCCCTGGAGCCCAGAGTTCTGACCCTGCAAGGCCAGAAAGCAACTGATGTTGCTTATGTGCCAAGGGACTAACATTTTTCTTCGATTTTTGCAATGTTGGAGATTTCTCCGTATTTGTCAAGTTCAAATCCTCGAAAGACAAAAACTTGTGTAATTTTTAGGCTAGCAGATTTAAAACACTGCTAAGGAATTCTCTTGACCTTTGATTTTTGAAATCATGCTTTTATAGTACTCAAAATATTATCATACGAATAAGCCAAATTTATATTCATACTGTAATATGCCCAGGAACATGGAGCCAGGTGAAATTTACAAAACTCATATTCAAAGACACCTGTAAATCCCCATTCAATTCAGCTAAACCTCTGGGCTTGATGATGGTAATTTTTCATCAAACGTTTGCAAACAGACATCATCCTGACCTCTCACTGAGAGCAAAAATTGGTGGCCAACCAAGGCAAGTATCCAGAATCAACTCTGCTATTCTGTCAAGCAAACAGCATGCCAGTAGACAATTTGTAATATGCCAGGCTGTGTCCCTGCAGAGTGTTCTGAGTCAGACCAGATGCCCATGTGCAGGCTCAGTCCTGGGTCAGACCAAAGGGTAGGCCAATGACATTCAAGCTACAATAAATAGCTTTCTCCATCAGTCAGAATATGTGCAAGATAAAGAGACAGAGAGGAGCTCAGCCATAATTCCATCTGGCTCAGCAGATCTGTAGAAGAGGGGAGGAAGGGGGTAATTTGAAGAAATTAACGTATTCTCAGACCAAATAAAATAAACCTTTTCTCAGAAGAACAGTCCTATAACCAATACAGAAATGGCAAAACAAAACAGCCCCACCCATTCAAAAGTGACCATCAGAGGATGGAAGTTCAGATACAATTTCTTTGCCTATTCTGACCACTGTGCAGTTTTTATAAATTCACCACGATGGCACTTTACACTAAGTGTAAGTTCTGATCCAGGACAGAGTCAGTCACCAGCTAGAAAAGTCAGTCCTGCAAGAAATAAATTAGGTGCCACTGAAAGAACGGTTCACCCTTCGAAGTTACCACAACTGGAATTAGAGTGAATATGTACACACGGTGGCAAAAACAACTGAAGATTTGGTGACTACAACTTGCTTTAAAATAAGTGAAGTGAATGTAAACTTAACTCATTTCTACTATACCCTTTTGTGTTTTCCACATCTTGTGCTAACTGGTCCCACTGAGGTGCAGTTGGACAAATCTGCCCAGAGCACTCAAAGTGACTCATCAGCAGTCACAGGACCACAGATGCACAGAAGCCACCTTAAGATCTGGTTCCTTTTCTTGGAGATTCTGAAGAGGGTGCCAACCACATTCAACACCAGGTTTTCAGAACTCTCCAAAGAGAAATTCTGCCCCACTGCTAAAGTTACTTCAAAAACCTCACTGCACAAGTGGCCCATGAAATAAACTCATTGGGGGTAAAATCTACCAAAAGATTAGCCTGATGTTAAATACTGATATTTAATAAGCAACAAGAGAGAAATTAGAGAGAGAAAACAAAGATAAAAGATCTGAACAGGTTTGGGCAATGGTAGAACAAATAAAATTATCCCACCTTGGTGGTAACGTTTTTACTCATTGATCCTCCCATTGGTGACCTACTTCTATGCAAAGAATTCCTCTTTTTCCAGAGCAGTTAATTGACACTACTAGGTGAATCAGTGGTAGCCTGAATGCCTGAGTATCCCATATCAAAAGGAATATAAACATTGGGATTTCCATCTACTCATACTGTTTCAAAAAGCACAGTCTTTGGAGTCAGACAGATATGACTTACAATACCACTAGTAGAGTGACTGTGTGTGTTACTTAACCTCTCTGAGCTTGTTTCCTCATGTGCTAGATGTTGATAAATATTTGTTTAATGTATGACTTACAGGTAATGAAACCATACATGTATTGCAGTGCAGAATATTTTTGTATAGTGGGGTGGTCGGTGAGCGCAAATTCCCTTACTCATCCTTTCCGATCCCCATCTAATTTTAATGTAGGCACATGGAATCAATTGCACCCCAGGACTCTCCTGCCATCTGCAGTGACTGGGTAGGGAAGAAAGAAAGCCTAACGTGAGAATTTAACAGGTTGATCTAGCAGTGATGACTTTCAGAGTTGAGTGATTTTTGTCCCCATTTTGCCATGCTATGACAACGTGGCTAACTCTCTACCTATAACCGCAATAATTCCAGGAGCTGTAGATCTTAGGGCTCTCTTCACTGGATTTCCAAAAGTGTCTGGCAAAAATTTGCCTTTATTAAAATCATGTACTCTCCTGGCAAAATCCCACAAAAGCAAGCACTTTTCTGACATAATTTTCTCCCTAAATTAAAGGTTTGTGAACCAAAGCACATATTAACACACAGGTCAGTATAAGACAGAAATAGTTCACGTTATCAAATTGTCCCAAGCTTTGAGTCAGGAGAGAGGGTGAAAGTGTCACTCGCCTGCGCTTCCGGCTCACAGCTGGTTGCAAAGCTTGCCTGGCCTGCTCTCTGTGCCTCTTTACCACCTGCAGCCCACCCCAGGCCCAAAAGGACTTCACAGTAATTTGTTCAGCAAATGTCTACAGCATCCTTATTTAAAATTAAGCCTTTCTACATGCTGCCAAAAGCTATGATCTAAAGAATTCTGGAGGCTCTTTGATTTCCCCTCCCCCACCCCATTCTTCTTAACCTGCAATCTGCCTCCCGTGGCTGCTCAGCATTGACTAACATCAGGCTCTTCTGATAAATCTACCTATAATGTACATGGAAATTCTCTCAATCCATCTCTGTTCTTTTCTGTGCTTATGCATTAATTTCCTGAAGATGAGCATGAATTTAGAATGTGAAACTATGGACATTAATAAAAAGACAACAATATGTCAGTGAAAACACATCACAAAAATATAGGAGGGACAGATATTATTAACTCATTTTGTAGGACCTCTGAAAGTCCTAGCTACAAAGTAGCTGTTTGGGAAGAAACAACTCATCACTTTTTATGGGACAAAATTTTGGCTTCTGAAATCCAAGTTTAAAGTATCACAAAGCAGAGTTCTATTATTTCAAGCATGCATATGGAGACAAACACACTACACAAACACATGCACTGTCCAACAATTTATATATATCCTTCATATACTGAGCAAACTGGCCTTACACCTACTTAAAACCAGTGTATCTACTAACACCTGTCTCTCTGTCTCTCATGTACAGTAAGCCATCCACTTTCCAAGTCTTTCGTAGCTAGACCCAGAAATTGAATGTGTGCTTTGGAACATGCTGAAGTACCATTTAAAGTACTGTCATTTAACTTAAGGACATGAGGGGCTTGAAGAGGCTGCTTCACATCTCATCAAAACCTTAGGAATTCTCAAGAGGAAATCAGAAGATTACATTTATGCTACATGCAGGGAAATCCTCTTACAAGGAGTTCACACAAGGCCAAGAAAGATAACTAGTGGCAGAATTCTTTCTCCCCAACCCCAGCTTGTCCTGGTCTTCACCATATCCCCCACATTCCTTATCCACTCATTCTACCACCTCCCTGGCCCAAGCAGACAAATTGGTTCTTGGATGCCTGCCATACCATCATTCATCTCCTCCGACAGCCCCAACAGAACAGTTACCACAGCAAACAGCCAAATCAAACTTTGTCTTCAGTGTGAGGTCCACATTCTATGGCTTTATCACCTCTGACATGAATTTCTAGCAGATCTCATCACATTAGTTCAATGCAATTACCAGAAATATTAACTGGATACATTTCATTGTAGATAGTCCATGGTATAAACAGGGACAGCATACAGAGGTGACCACCACAGCCCCGAGAGGTTTCAGAGCTTTTGAAAAACAACACTCCTGTAGGATTTCAAAAGGGAACCTTCCCTGTAGATGATACAGCACAGGCCATTTCTCCTTGAATCTCATGTTACCCTCTATAGCATCATCTTATTCTCAGGCCTATTCTATTTCTCTACAGAGCTGTGCTTTAACACCACATAATTAAGACAAATCCTCATTTCTCAAACAATTTTATGGTCAAGGTTTCATATATCTGAAAAGAAAATGGAAAGTAAAACAATTCTCTAGTCCTATTTTTCTAGAGAGGAAACATAGCAGATTATAATCCAATCACAGGTAATACACACACACACACACACACACACACACACACACACACACACACTCAGTTTACCAGATAACCCTTGTCATTGTTAATAACTCGAGAAAGCCAACTACATGATACTGGGAGGGGGCCGGGGGGAATGTGAAAAATGCATGACTTTGTGGAAGACCCCTTGACTACTATCTCACCTCATTTTGAGAAACAGCTTCGTTTTTTAGAATAATCAGGTTCCCAGCACTCTGTCCACTTTGGCCTGTGAGGTGCCTGCTGTCACCTGCTGCTGCTTGGGCTCCCCCAGGTCCCAGTCCTGTCTGAGCCCCTGTATTGTAAAACATGAAAGTGTCACTCCCTGAGCCTGCTGTCAGACAGGCCTTGTAGCAGTAGGTCTTGGTGAGGGAGCCGTTCCCTCGCACTTCAATGAAGTGAGGCTGCACTTTGAGGCCGTGTGGTATCCTGGCATCAATATTGTTGTTGGCCTGTTTGTAGAGTTCTGCAGGGCACCTCTCCCTCACTCCACAGAAGCCTCCACAGCACGCAGTGCCATAAGCAGTGTAGCGGTAGCACTTGATGATGCTCAAAACAATGATTGTCAAAAGAAATATAAAAGACACTGTGCTTAATGCTATTATTAGATAAAGTGTAATTTCAGAGTATGTCCGAGGACTTCTCACACGTCTCTGAGTGTCAGGGAGGATTTTGGAAACCCTATCCACTACAGCTACTGTAATGGCCACAGAGGCTGACAGCGATGGCTCTCCATTGTCTCGGACCACCACGGTCAGGTTGAAAGTGGTTCCACTCTCATCTCCCATCTTCCTGGTAGTCCTAATTTCTCCTGTATGTAGCTCTACTTTAAAGAGGTCCAGGTCAGAAATCTGGGCCAGATGGTAAAAGAGCCAAGCATTCTGCCCAGAGTCTGAGTCCATGGCTATGACTTTAGTGACCAGGTAGCCAGCAGGGGCAGTTCGAGGCACCATTTCAATGGCTGCTGACGAATTGGTTGAGGTAGGGTATAGGATGTGAGGGGCATGGTCATTCACGTCCACTACATACACGTTGGTGGTCACAGTGCTGCTCAGTGGTGGGCTCCCCTTGTCCCGGGCCTCCACAGTCACAAAGAACTCCCGAAATTTCTCATAATCAAAGGAGTTGACAGCATAAAGGCTGCCACTGACACTGTTAATGGAGATATAGGAGGTGACTGGCAGCCCTTGAATCTCCCTCTCCATGAGGGAGTAGGTCACCTCCGAATTCTCCTTTTCATCTGGGTCTGTGGCTTGCACAGTGCAGAGCAACACCCCTGGCAAATTGTTTTCCTCGATGTAAATGGAGTAGGAGTCCTTCAGGAAGCTGGGTGGATTGTCATTGATGTCGGAGATCTCAACCTGCAGTGTCCGCTGGGATGTGAGCTGTGGTACTCCCCCATCAGTGGCTGTCACTGTGATGTTGTAGGCAGCCACCTGCTCCCTGTCCAGGGGGCCACTCACTACCAGTGTGTAAGAGTTTCCAAAGCCATTCAGTCGGAAAGGCAGTGTGGCCTCCAGGCCCAGGCTCACTTTCCGGTTGGGACCTGAATCTTGGTCATTGACACTGAGAAGGGCCACAACGGTGTTGGGGGCAGCATCCTCAGGCACTGGGCTGTACAGGTCCGTGAGCACCACCTCTGGTGCGTTATCATTCACATCCACGATGTCCACCAGCACCTTGCAGTGACCCACCATGGGCACTGGGCCCCGGTCTGTTGCCTGCACATAGATCTGGTAGGAAGAGGCCTCCTCATAATCCAGCTCTCCACTTACCCGCACTTCCCCCGTGCTGGCGTCGATGCTGAAGAGCTGCCTCTCCCGGTCCGACGTGTAGCTGCTCAAGGAGTACGTGAGCTCGCCATTGGAGCCCTCATCCGGGTCTGAGGCATTCAGCTTCACCACCAATGTGCCTGGGGGAGCGTCCTCCCGAAGCTGGACGCGGTAAGTGGACTGGTCGAAGGCGGGAGAATTGTCGTTAGTGTCCAGGACAAGCACAGAGATCTGCGCGGTGCCTGAGCGGGCTGGGCTGCCCCCGTCCACAGCTGTGAGAACCAGGTGGTGCAAGACTGCCTGCTCGCGGTCTAGGCCCTTACGCAGCACCAGCTCCAGCACTTTACTGTTCTCCTGCAGGGGTTTCAGGTCCAGCTCGAACTGCTCGCTGGGGCTGAGCTCGTAGGTCTGCACCGAGTTGGTGCCCACGTCGGGGTCCTGCGCGCTCTCTATGTGAAAGCGCGCTCCAGGTGCCACCGATTCACTTACCTGAAGCTGGTAGTCGGGCCGCGGGAAGCGCGGCGAGTTGTCGTTGATGTCCAGTACCTCCACCTCCACGGCACTCACCGCCACGGGGCTGTGCGCCAGCACTTCCAGGCTGAGCAGGCAGCGAGGCCTTTGCTCACACAGCGCCTCCCGGTCAATGCGCTCGTTGACGAAGAGAGCTCCACTGGTCAGGTCCAGCTCCAGGTAACGAGGGCTGGGCGCACCCAGGTGGTTCATACGCAGGCAGCCCGGCCCCAAGCGCCGCAGCTCCAGCCCCAGTGCGCGAGCCACGTTGCCCACAAGCGCGCCAGGTGTCTGCTCCTCTGGCACCGAGTATCGCAGCTGGGAGGCCGCTGGACCCGGCAGCAGCAGTAGCAGCAGGAAAAGCAGCAGCAGCCAGAACATGGGCGTCCGGAGCCGGGGATGCTCTGTCGCCACAGGTCTGGTGCCCGCCAGCTCCATAGCCACCGGCCGCGCCGGAGGCAGCAGCTTCCCCAGCCGTGCTCCACGCCGGAGCCGCGCCTCCGCCTCCGCCTCCGCTCGTGCCGCCCTGCGCCCGCTCCCCCACGCCTCACGAGCTAGCAAACGCCGGGGCCGTTCCCCTCGTGGGCCCTCCGGAGGGCTCCTGGCCCCGCCGCCCGCTCTGATTCCCCATATTCCAGCTCCTCCGCTCGCCTCAGGGTCGCTCAGCCCAGCTTCGTTTCCTGCCGCCGCCGCCGCCGCCGCCGCCGCTGCTGGTCCAGGAGGAGGGAAGAGGAAGCAGAAGAGGAGGGGGAAGAATGCTCAGCAAGTCCGGCTCCGATTCCGCACCGAAGTGGCGGACGGCGACCCGGACTGTCCAGTCGCTCCAGCCACTCCAGCCCCAGCTCCTCCGCCCCGGACCGGCCGGATCCCAGCAGACCCCGGGAACACGGCCACTCCCTTTTTCCCTGCCCCCACTGTCCTGTTCAGCCAGTCTCCACGGTCCCTCGGCTGCTGAACTGGTCTTGTAAGGAGATTATTCGCCCCCCCAGCCACTCCAGCCCCAGCTCCTCCGCCCCGGACCGGCCGGATCCCAGCAGACCCCGGGAACACGGCCACTCCCTTTTTCCCTGCCCCCACTGTCCTGTTCAGCCAGTCTCCACGGTCCCTCGGCTGCTGAACTGGTCTTGTAAGGAGATTATTCTAGGAAAAGCAGTTAAGTCTCTAGGACTCGGGCTTTCAGCTCCCAGAAAAAGATTTCCAAGCGCAAGTCAAGAAAATACACCGAGGGCCTTGGCTAAGTACGGATATCTGGGCGGCGGCTCCACGTTCAAAGAAACAAACGCAAGTGAGGCGCTCTGGGCTTACTGATGATGGGGATTATTTCCCTGACACCAACATTTTCCCTGAATACTCCTAAATACTGCAGAAACTTCTAGGGCGGAGGGAGGGGGGGTGGCAAGTGCTGTCATCTTTCGCGGAGCAAGCCTAAAATTAGCATCCTGCGATCCAACACTCAATTCTGCTCCTAGCCAAGTGGCTTTTACTTCCAGTGTGTGCCTTGGCAAATAACCAATATTTCAGGTTTTAATATTCTTTCTTTAAAAAATTGGTTCCATGAAGCTGCAGGCTAAGCTCTTATTTAACCCCTTTTGATCATAGTGGGGAGAATCTGGTAAAATTTTAAAGAGATTCTTCCCTCAAGCTTTTCCTCATTTTACTTCAAATTTTTTTCATTTATCACCCAAGACATTTTCTTTCTTTCAAGAGTGATTTAAATTTTTTTCTTTAACAGATGACAATGTCTTCAAGAGCCTGCAAAACCATTACATCAAGAGAGTTACTCTTGATTTCCCAAGCCTGGCTGGAATTTGGACTCCATTAATGCTTTGCAGTGAAAAGTCTGCTGTTACTAAGCGAAATGTGGAAGGCTGGGATTTATCTCACAATAGCCAGCAATTTCAATGGCTGCAGCTCATCTTACATAAATATAAGGTTCCTTTACCCCTCTGGGTCTCTGTTCCCCTAAGACTCCCCCCTTGTATTGCTGCAGAGGCAACAAAAAGGATAACCAATTGTCAGTAAACAAGAAGGCAGAAGGATCAGAGGAAGCCTTTCTGTTCTGTGTCATTGCCTCTGTTTCTCTGTTTTGAACATCCACTGTTCCCAGGCCCTCCCATCTATTCTACAAGAGTTTAAAATTCATTGTCTCACTTGTACAAAAGCACTCACTAAAGTGTTCTTTCTCCTTCTTTCTCTCAGCATCCTCTCACCCCTAGATCTTCTGCTGTCATTTGCTAGCTATGAACTGGAACAAAACTAGGAGACCTGACATTTGGCACGCTTCCCTCCTTCAGGGCATAGTTGAAGGGGCCAAGACACCCAGGTTTCAAAGGCCTGGACTAGCACATCTCTTCTTCCCACCTACCAAGTACAGCAGCTGACAACTCCACAACCTAACCCATTTTATTCCAGAGAAGCTCCCAGCTTCCTCCTATCCCTGCTGCTTCTTATTTGTCCTCTTTGTTCCCTCAGGAGTGCAAAGTGGGAAGCAATTTCCATCACATTCTATTTCTGTTTCTGTTCTTAAGCCTCTGGCTTCTCCCTCTCTGTCTGCTTCCTCCCAAAATGTCCCTACAGTAACTCTGTCTCTGCTGTGGTAATTTGATCTCAGAAAGCCTTTAACTCTCAAGTGCATGAAATGTAGGCCTGGCCTATGTCTTCACCCATTACTTATTTCTGAAAATAAATGGGTTATAGGTGGAATCAAGTTATAAGTTGTCAGGAAGAATGACCTTTTCTTCCCCCATCTCCTCCCAGGCTTTCACAGTTGCTGCCATCTCTGCCCACAGCTCTGAAACCTGGTCACTAGGCATTGACCATGTGTGGACCTGTGCCCCTGAAGAGATCACAGGCACTTAAAGAAGAGATTAAAATGACAGAGGCTTGGTAATGTTTTTAATGGAAGCCCCCAAGTGTCAAATCTCAGGAGAAAAATCAGGGCTCCTCTATTAGCAATCTTGTCATCTTCCAGCAAGGACATCTGCCAGGTTGTCCATTTTGATGTGTTGGGATCATAAGCTTCAACTACTACCTACTCCCTCAGTGGCTGAGAAGACAAACATAGCACCAACACAAATCAGCCACCTCTTCAAAGACGTACTAAAGAGATGGCAAACTCTGTATCTGGCACTACAATGATTTAGTTGCTCATACTATTGTACATGTCTCATGCCAACCTTACTAGTTGGTGGAGTAGGATTGCTTAGATTGCTGGCAAGTGCCCTGTCTACGAATATTAATACTAATGCCTCAGCCACACCACTATGCATTCCTTCCTTTCCTTGGACCTTCAAGAACCCCCTATTGAAAAGCAGAATAGCGCAGATTTTGAAGTCAGTCACACCCCTGCCAACGACTAACCGTGTGGCCTTGGTCATGTTACTTAACCTAAGCTTCAGTGTACTCATTTTAATTGGGGAAGACAATTTTAAGTAAACTCATAGAATCATTACGATTACATGAGATGATGTATATAAAACAATCTGAGAGAGATTAAGAGGTATAAACTTCCACTTACAAAATAAATAAGTCACAGGTATGAAATGTACTCTATGGGGAATACAGTCAATAATAATGTGATATCTTTGTATGGTGACAAACGCTAACTAGACTTATCACGGTGATCATTTTGTAACACATAGAAATATTGAATCACTATGTTGTGTACCAGAAATTAACACAGTGCTGTTCGTCAATTATACTTCACAAACAAACACACAGAAAAAGAAATCACACAACACTGTAAATCAACTATACTCCAATAAAATTTTTTAAAAAAGAAAGAAGATCTGTGGTTACCAGAGGTGGGGGGCAGGTAGGAGAGGGGAGTTTAGATGAAGGTAGTCAAAAGGTACAAACTGCAAGTTATAAGATAAATAAGTAGTACTAGGGATATAATGTACAACATGATAAATATAATTAACGCTGCTGTATGCTATACATGAAAGCTGTTAAGAGAATAAATCCTAAGAGTTCTCATCACGAGGAAAAAGTTTTTCTTTATTTTCTATCTATATGAGATAATGGATGTTCATTAAACTTATTGTGGTAATCATTTCATGATGTACGTAACTTAAATCATCATGCTGTACACCTTAAAATTATACAATGCTGTATGTCAATTATATCTCAATAAAACTGGAAAGAAGAAAAACCAATCTGCATAGTAATTGACAAGTATGTTATTATTATCATTATTATTGTTATTATTAAATGCAACAATTTATTAGCATCAGATAACCTTAGTTGACAGTCTATATACAGCATGGCCCTTTAAGGTATCAAACAGAGATAAGCACCGGTAACTATGCCAGACAGGAAGTCAGTGATGATGGAGAAGATGAGTGTGCACCAAAGTTAAGCTTACCCAATTATTTCTAGAGCTTAGCCTATATTTTGAAAACAAAAACCAGTCCCTTTCTATATCAGCAAAGAAAAGGGACTTCCATCATGAGAATTCCTTCAAGGGATTTGTTCCCTCACAAGAGATTCACCTTTTTAGGATATGTGAAAATACTTTAGCAACAGAGTACAGAAGTGTTCCCCAAAATGCTGTAATCTCTAGTGCCCAGTGTAGAGCTTGGCACAGAGGTACTTAATTAATGTTTCTTGAACAGAACTAAATTTACAACTTTACCTGTGCAATCCTGTCAAATAGAAATAGCTTCATCTTTTCTCTCCCCCTTTTAAATGTTCTCTATATTTCAATGTCCATCTTAAAACCTACCTAATCCATGAAACATTGTCTACTCTAAACATACTTTTTTTTCTCTTTCATAGTCTACATCTCTCTCAATGCTGACATTCAGAATTCTGAATGTGTCATTCTTTAATTCATCCAAATGCTTTAGTATTATTTCCTTACCTTAATTATACACAACCTACAAGCAGAAGCCATGTCGTATATGTCTGTGTATTTCCTTACAGTGTAGGAAAACTTACAGACTCTCAATAAATAAGCGATGGCTGTTTCATTTTCTTCAGATCCTTTTTTAGCAGATTCAAGAAGTGCTGCTGCTTCTCCCTTTTTTCCCCAGGTCTAACGGTGAGAAGGCTCAAGAGCCTGCAATGATTTTACTTCCTTTAAATTTTGAAATTCAAAATATTTCAAACCTGGAGAACTGAATCCTACTAATGAAGTTGCTGGACGCTAAGAAAGGCTCTGCTCAAAAGTATTATCACTCTTTCTACTTTATATTATAATTATAAACTGTAAAATAAAGGTATTCCTTGCTCATAACTAACATGGAAAGTGACATGATACGAGAAGTGCCACAAAAAGACATGATTTTGTTTACCCCCATGTTAGATGGAGAACTTTGAAATAGTATCCCTTAATTGTATCTGTAAAATGCATCTATCACAAGGTCATTGGACACAGGAGCAAAACCAATCAGAACACAACCCAATTAAGCCTCTAAGAAAAATACTGGTATGGG